AAAAAAAAAAAAGATTATATCTAGGAGTTTTAGGAAAACATCTAACACAGTAGAATCTCTGCAATTTGACCACTTGAGGGACTCTAACAAACTTGTCAACATATGGAGATGGTCAACCTAAGGAACTAGTACTGATATTCCAGTCTATGAATATTAGGTCAACTTAAGGAGATGATCAGTGTAGGGAGGTGGTCAACAATGGAAGTTCTACTGTATGTGAGAAAGTTGAGATTTGTTAGTGACATCAAATAGAATGAATTTCCTTCATTCATTATGTGGTACCTGTAATTTATAAATTTTTAATTTCTTTATTTAAATAACTTTTATTAAAATTAACTACTGTAAAAATTATCCATGATTGTATACATTGCAGAAAACTTGGCAAATACAGAAAAGTAGAAAGAATGAAAACAACCACCTAACACTTAAAGACATCAGTTTTGACATCTTGGTGAACTTTTTACTCTGTACTTAAACTAATCTAGATGTTATAGGCATGGACCATATCACAGTAATATTTCATGTTCCTGTTTTTTTTTTATTTACTATTTTAAAATAAGTAAGCATTTATTAAATATCTAATATGTGCCAGACACTTTCATTGAATCATTATGTTACTTATTATTTGATTCATGCATTATAATTCCATATGATAGCAAAACATAGCTTAATTAGGTGGTTTATGCAGCTTTATAAATTTTAATCTAGGTCTTCTGAATTTCTATCAGAGTTAATAATCATACACAAAACTAAAAAAATTTTTACTTTTTTTTTGAGACAGAGTCTCCTTCTGTCGCCCTGGGGAGAGTGCCATGACATCATAGATCACAGCAACTGTAAACTCTTGGGGTCAAGTGGTCCCCTTGCCTTGGCCTCCTAAGTAGTAAAAATATTTTTATAAAAATATTTATGCATAGAGTTAATATTTATACAAAAATGTTTACTATTAATATTGTAGTGATTGGATTTCCAATTCCTGTTAAAATGTGGCTCCACCTAACGTAACCCAACCCAACTTAATTCAACCCATGCCAACCCAAACTCACCAAGCACAATGACTACCATCTGGGTTGCCTTCTTCTCCCGAAGTGGCACTCCTCGAGGTTGCAGGGGCCCCAACTTCAGGGACGTTGATAACCTGCCATTGCTGAGCTTTCGGACCTCTAAGCTGAGCTTGGGTGCTATGGTGGGGCTTAGGGAATTCCGACTCCTCTCCTCCCTTTTCAGTTCTCCTTCTCTTTCCTGGAAGCCTGGTCCATCCAAGGCAGCATCTTGGCAGATACTATAGTAGCGCTTTAGCTCCATGTGTGGCCGGCCAGGAGAGAGGGGCTGCAGATGTGACAAGAGAGGATTCTGACATTTCTGGGGATATTGCTTATCTTCTGAATGTTCCTGAATGGGAAAGAGAATGCAGAGGAGAAGGAGGAAACCATGAGTGTGTGAACCCTACAGAAGGAGCATCTGAGAGCACAGTGGGACCATGAAACTTGAAGGAAATGAAATCTGCTTCTGATTTTACAACTAAAAAGTACCTAGCACATACAGAGCTTTAAATACTACTACAGTCCCTTGAGGAGAGTAGCATAGGATTGTTGCTTTGCTTTTTTGAGTTAGAATGAGCTGGTGATACTGAAGAACAGGGTAGGTGACACCCCAGGGACATAAGCAGCAAAATCTGGAGTGTGGGAAACTCTAAAAGAAAAACGACTCAATTTTTTTCAACAAATTAATTGTAACAACAAAAGCACTTACCCGTTGCAAAGTATAGTCTTCATTTGAATTTTGATTCAAACAAACCAACTGTGAAAAATTTTATAGGACAATGGGGAAAACACAAACATTGGATATTTAATGATATTAGAGGACTATTATTAATTTTGTTAGTGTGATGTGGTATTATGCATATGTGTTTTATCCTTTGGAGACCTTACAGAAATATTTTCAGTTGCAATGATATGTATTTGGGATTTGCTTCATAACACGCTAGTAGTGGGTGTGCGAACATAGGCGGGAGTGTACGGAAATCAGACTGGCCACGAGTTGATGATCACTGGAGTTGGCTGGAAGAGACGAGGGGTTTGTTCTATTTGTCTTTCTACTTTTTATTTTTGAAAATTTCCATAGTAGAGTCCTTTTGTAAAAAAGGATTTTAACTCTGCTTTTCTGCTTAGTAAATGTATCCTTTAGTAAGTTAATTTACTATCTCTGAGCTTCATTTGAAAAACAGAAAAGAAAAAGGAAAAAAAAAACGGTTTGAGATGAGCAGCACCTCAGAGTAGAAAACTTGAAGATGGGTGTATTTTTTCCGGTATTTTGGGTGGGGGGAACATGTGTATCCAATATCTGAACTTCATTCCATGTTTGAGGAATCAGACCCTTGTGTTAATCCTGCCTAGGAGATGGGACTTGACTCCCCCAACTCTGATCACTGATGCCATAAAAGCCAGCTGTTCATGTTCCGCTCCCACCTCAATAGAGCTACAGTTCTGGCACATGAACCAAGCTCAGACAATTACTGATTCACACCTCAGACTGACCCTGAACTAGTGAAGAAGGGAGACTTTAGAATTCATCTAGCATTGGTGCCAGCCAATGTCCAGTGTCCTAAGCCCTGTTAGCTGTTTTTCAGCCTTCTCATTGAATCCATGAGATACTTGACAGGTCTCCAGAAAGTTTCTTTTATCCACAAGTTAGTCAATATCAGCAACTAAGACCCTTCATGTCTCTCTCCTTAGATCAAGGAATCACAAGTCTCCCAAGGGCACAGTGGTGGCATACTGTGCACACTCAGAAGGATTGTTGAATGAATGGATGTATTCGAGGGGTCTTCAAGATGACTTAATGTTTTTAAATCACATTTCATAGAGGTATTCTTAGGAATTCTAGGGGTATATATATTTGTTCTTTTTTAAAAAGTATTTTTTATTGATACACAATAACTGTACATATGGGGTACTTGTGATATTTTGATACATGTATCAGGATAATTGGGTTATCTGTCTCATCAAGTATTTATCATGTCTTTGTGTTTGGAGCATTTCAAATATTCTCTTCTAGCTATTTTGAAATATATAATAAATTGTTAATTATAGTCATCCTACTGTGTTATTGTTTGTACCCATTCACCAAACTCTCTTCATCCCCCTACCCTCCCAGCCCCTGGTAACTATCATTCTACTCTTTACTTCCACAAGATCAACTCTTTAGCTCTCACAGATGAGTGAGAACATATGTTTGGATACTTGTCTTTCCATGCCTGGCTTATTTTCTTTAACATAATGGCCTTCAGTTAAGAAAATATCTTTAAAAAATTGTTAGTTTTAGTTTTGATGGGATTTTATAATAATTAATATAAGCGTATTCTCTTTTATCTGAATGATAACCAAAATTATGTTTATGATTAAGTGGGCAGCTATTGGTCTTCTGAAAGTGATGATATTTAACTTTTAATGCCTTATTTCTAAAACTAGGGGACTGGAGGCAAATTCTCAAAGGTTCCTATAAAATCTCAGATTTGAGAACACTGATCTAGTATACCCTGTTTCCATTGTACAGATGTGGAAAGTCAGTCTTATAGGAGGAAAGTGATTTTTCTGAGGGTGTATATTGGTGAGAAGTATTTTTCAACTCTCTTTGAAAACCCTTATCACTACCTCCATGACTGCATGAGGGAACACTGGACTCCTCTGGGTTTGGCTAGCTGAGCTCTCTACTCCCACATGGCAGCCCAGAACCTGATTCTCCACAATCCTGGCAATGCCAGCCTCATGGCTCACCAATCTCTCTTTTCTTCCCTTGGGCCTTGGATGCCCCTCAGACCTTGGATCTTCCATAGGCAGCTTTAAGTTGCTTATCTATCTTTTATCATTTACAGCAAGGGTCTCTAACTGTTACATCAGGCCTGTGTAAAAGTGATTGGTTCACTGTACCGAGATGGAATGAAGCTCAAGCCTATATATCATTATTGGCTTTTGAAGTTTTATTCCTAACGTGGAGTTCAGAGTGAGGACTACTGGCCTATACTTAACAGCACCAGGCTCCATCATGCACTCTGCTAGCTGGAGGAGGCAGGGTTGATTTGGATTGGTCATAGAAGGCTCACAGTGACCATGACATTGTCTTTGTTTTCCCCACATTCATTGGTTAATAGGGCACTTGCAAGTCTTCTTTCTCTGCTGTTATTTGCTCTGCCCTTGTGTGTTTCATTGACATCTTGATCCCTCCAGTACAGGTGGCTCTGAATGGCATCTTCACACCATATCCAAGAATCATCAGTGCCAGTCATTGAGATCTCGCCCAACAGTCATATGCCTTCTCAACATCACTTGATGGATTCTATGCTGCAGCTTAAATAAGGCAGAATCTCAGATCCCATCATGTATTATACATACATGTGCAAGAATAGGGCTAGATTCTGTTTGGGGGTGGGACTGACATCGAGACAAGCCAACATTGTGAAAAAAGGGCTCTTATTCTTTTCCTGTGAGCAGAGACATTGTCCACTTACCATTTTTCCTGTGGCATCTGATGGAAATCTGGTCCTTATTGAAAACTGCCGCATGGGCTGCAGCCGCAGACAGGAAGACTAGAGTAGGTTGAAGGAGAAACAGTCAGTTATGGATTAAGCTTGACACTGCTGACCCATGTCATATGTGGCCGTGGAGCATGGCAATGCTTTGAGTGCAACGTGTTCATGTCCCTAGCCTTGGGTTCTGACCTCTTATCTAATGGGGCCAATAGTCTTGTTCTACCTAAGCCTTGGGGCTTCAGCTTTGAGAGTCTGACCTTTATTCAGGACATCATGACTGATGTTGGCTATACCTTCAAGACCAGACTCACTTCTTACTCTGTAAAGCCCTTTCCTGAGCATGTTGTTTTTTTCTCTTCTTATGACTTCCACAACACTTCATTTTGGGGTGCTTAGTTGTCTTTACCTCACATTTGGCAAACATTCCATTCAGTTCTGGGCTGTTCATTAACTTTAGGTACTATATTTGCTCATCTAGAGTCTGAGCTCCATGAAAGCAGAGGCTGTATAACATTCCCAGTGTCCCTTCCCTGGCAGAGTGCGAGTAATCACTACTATTCATCCATTTGTGCTTCAAATATGTCATGGGCAAACTATTATGTGCCAGGCACTGGGGTAAACAGAACTGAAAACCAAAGCAACTGGAAGATCATTGCAGAAGGAACAACCTTCCCCTTCAGAAGCTAGAAAGATCTGATAAAATGATTATCCAGCATCCCATCCCAAAGCTGGTCAGTGCCTCGGCATGGGGAGATCTAGTGAGGACAAACGGTTTTGGTGGACCATGATGATTCTTGGAATGAGTGATTTGAACAGAAAGTCAGTTCTGTGAACCAGAAGTGCAAGGTACAACTGCCACATACAATCTCAGACCCTGTGGGACATATGAACTGCTGGCCATCTGGGGGAAATGAAAGACTGTGAGGGAAAGAATGACATGCCTAGAAACTGTCCTATCATATTGACAAGTAAGGGGAGCTCTAGGGACGGCTATCAGTGCACTCTCGAGGTTGAATTTCCTACCTCAAAACATAGCTAATAACCTCCAGCAGGTTAGGAGGTAGGTGTCAAGTCTGTGTCTCCATGTGGCAGAGTGGGAACACAGCATGGATGGACACAAGGCTGGGAGGTCAGGGGTTGGTGTTGTCCTCCCACTGCCTGCTCTGGGGGCCTTACTTGTTGAGGGAAGCTGGGCCTGACACTGATGCACTGACTGTTCTGCCGAGTAAGGATCCGTTTCTGTCTCCTTTGTCTCAACACCACGTAGATCCTGGCATAGACAAGGACAGTGACTCCGAAGGGCAGATAGAAGGACACCACTGAAGAGTAGATGACAAAATCAGGGTTGGAGATGGAGCAGATGCTGGGGTCCCCTGTGGGTAAGAGAGGGGGAGAAGGTGAAGCCGTTTGCCAGGTATTAGAGCTCTGCAGGGAGCATGAAACCTGGCCCCGTATCACCTGTGTGTGGGGTCTCCACCTCCTGATGGAGATGGGGGTGCAATGCCAGCTATGCTGTCAGCTTCTTATGGTGAGGGGTCCAATTCATCTTGGTGTTTCTCACAGTTCACTTAAAAAGAACGTTTACCAATGATTGTATGCCAGTCACTTCTCTGCACTGGGGCCGCAAAGAGGAACAAGACAGCATGTCTAGTTGCGAAGGTTTGGAGTACGGATAGATGACAATCCCTTCCATATGATGAGGTAAGTGTCACTCAGTGGAATGCAGCATAAAAGCTGCAGGAGTGTCACAGAGCAAAGGGCAAAGGCTCTTGGGGTGGGAGGTGGAGGGGAGGAAGCCTTCAGAAAAGGCCCTGCAGGTGTGGAGGCATTAAAGAATTATTTGAATACAGGCTTCTTTGGCTTCATTGCATTCCAACAATCCTTTCACTGAGAATTCTAGATCTCTAGTTTGAATGTGGGATGCAGGGCAGGTGATGGCTGAACACAGGGCAGGCATTTGATTTTTCAGGGAATCTCCAGAATCATCCAGGGGTAGGGTGGGAAAAGCCTGGTGAGAATATAGTTGTTATGGAGAATATGAATTCAGTACTGCCCTTCTCTGCTTTATGTCCTGAAATGCTGCTGCCACTCCTCCTTCAGAGGTCTCTATAGCTTTGCCTTCTTCATTACCAGAGGTTGAGATCCCTCCAATGCCCAGATAGGGCCTGAAACTTGCCCCTTGAAAGAAAAAAGGGAAGCTAAGCAGTATCTGCCAGGTGATACACCAAAGGCTTGGTACACATGATCTTATCTGATCATTATGGCAACATCACGTGAGAGAGATGTCATTACTGTCTCTGTTCTCAGATGAGCAGACTAAAGCTCAGAGAGGAAGAGCAGGTGGCCCATGGCTGCACAGCCTGAAAGGTACATTTCTCCCGCTAGTCTCACCCCCAAACCAATGTTCTTTCTGTAATTTTGACTTTCCAACTCCCTCTACTACCGTGACATGGCACATTTGTGCTTTGTCCAGCGTTGTCAGCAACTACTGTTGGCTCAGCTGGCCAGTCTTCATAATCCCCAACCCCAAATCTGGCCTTAGAAAATAAAGCCTCAGGTGTGAGCTCATGGGGAGAGGGCAATGGCTACCTGAGCCCCTCATTCTGCCTCTTGCTCTTCTGAGATTGGTAGAGGCCACGCAAGCGTAGGTGTGAGACCCAGCTCTGCTGTTTCTTAACTATGTGATCTTGGGCACACTACTTAACTATGCCAAGCCTCAGCTTCATTACCTGTAAATAAAAGGATAGAAATATTGTCTTGATAGTGGCTGTGAGAATTAAAGAAAATAAATGGTGGCCATTGTTATTTATTATTTACCTCCCTGATTTTTTTAAACTGAAGAGGGAAGATATCATTTGGAATGGAAATTTGGAGAGAGACTTATAATGAAAAATATTTGTGGGGAAAGGAAGGGACCAACAGTTAAGAACTAAAAGGGAAAGAAAGAGTGTGCTCAGGGGTCAATGAGGCAAATTAATGATAACAATGCCACCAGAACCTTTATAGGCCACTCCCCCAAATCCTCTGGTTCTCTGGGGAAGGGTTAAAATTCATTATCTTGCCAGGGCCTGTATCAGCATCCTTTAGGGAATGGATTATCCCCAGCCCCTCCCCTGAAATAAGCTCTCCTGTTACTGAGCATGAGGCTTTTTTTGCAGGCTCTCCTCGGAACTTGAGGCCCCTAGTGATGTGAATAGCGTGGCCAAAGCAGGTTTACTTGCAAGATTGATGAATTTCAAACTCATCGAAAGATGTAATCTCAACTTGATTCCAAAGGCAGGAGATGCTGATGGATTCAATTTTAGAATGACCCGAATATTCTTTTCACTTTGTAATTCTATTATTCATTTAGCTTTTTGAGTAACCAAGCTCCTCCAGGCTCCAGTGCTCTGAAAGCCATGTGAGGTGTTCTATTGCTAAAATCAAACAAATAGCACTCTTCAATTTCCTTTTATCAAAGGAAAAATCAAGCCAGCTGGTAAGATTTTCATAACTTTCAGTTTTTCTTCCCTTGAAGGTGTCTTAAACCTTTGTCACTAGCTTATTCATTCATTGCTTATTCATTCTAGAATTTTTTATAACACAATAGCCATCTGATTTAACAGAAATTTAAATACTGGTTATTTTTCTTATTTGTGAAATCAAAGACTGGGCTACTTATTGGGGGCATTTTTAGGGTTTCCCCTGGCCCCAGAACTCAATGCTTTGTCGTCATTAAGAGCCATTGATGATGTGACATTTGGCTAGATCACTGGGCCTCTGCTGGGAATAGGGGGCAACCATAGTCCGCCAGGACTCCCAGCCTAGGGACTCTCTAACCCAAGATCCTCCTTTTTCTCAGAGAATAGGCTCAACTTCCCAAGTTGGAAGACATTGAACTTCTCTCTATCTTACCTTCTCTAACAATTCACAATTGCATGTGGCAGCCCAGGCATTAAAAGAAGTACTGGGCCAGAAAGTTCTTCTGTGTTGTGCTCCTTAGTGGAAGTTCAGCTGCTTCCAGTAGTATCAGGTGTTACTGGCAGTATCCTGCCCCTTCCCCTGGACTTCCAACAGAAGACATGACTGAGAGAAGTCACTTTTACTGGGTTTTTGAATTAATTTAGGCAATTCCTTAAAGATGGAAGAGTTGTTGGAGGAACCCATGTCTACGAAGATAATGAAGGTCTACTGTGAAGGTCAGACTGAGGCAGAGGAGGACAGCTGGGCTTCCCTCTCTTGAGTTCCGTTCACTAATTCTCTGAAATATTTGGAAGAGGAGACTGGTCTCCTGAACGAGCATTGGTAGAACTACCACTGTTCAGATCTTTCTTAGAGCAAATATATTGTCCAAGTCTGCGGTATAGAAAATCTTTCTAATAAATAATAACACCAGAAAATATCTACTGGGCTCTAACAATGGAATCTGACACTTTGACACAATGTATGAGGGTTTACTACTGTGCTATTTGAGGGTTTACTACTGTGCTATTAATAAACTTAAAGGTAAAAGAGAGATGAGAGAGAAGTGAAAACTCACATGCTAAGTCACAGACTATTTTTTAACCTTCTTGATGCTGTGTTTGAAAAGTCTTTTGGAAAGATTTTCCTGAGCTTTGTTTCTGGAACAATAATGATCTCATTGGTGGCAAGTTTTTGGTCATCTCTCTTCTTTGCGTTAGATGTTGATATTAACTGGGAGCTCTGTCTAGTGTCATATTTTGAGAATGTTTCAACTGTTTCCAAGACATGTGTGTCTGTGAGAGTAAGACCACCCCTACCAAGAATGAGTAAGAGAAGCCATACTCAGCCCAGCAAGCACTGAACATGGGAATTTGCTGCTGGCTGGAACATAAGCAGTGCCTTGGTCTAGTAGTTGCAGTGAGTTTTCCCATATGCAAATTCCAACAAAGAATGTATTTTCATATAGAAACAAAGTTACATCAGATGACTTAGTTATTAGGCTAACAGGTAAAGCACATTTAACACTCTGTAGCCATGGTGGGAGGTGGTGCTTTGTGATGTGCAAAGTGTGTATGTGCATGTGTGACAAGTTCATAAAGTATCATTCACTTAAAGTAACAAAGTAATGAGTGATAAGGAGTAATGCAAAGATGATAACAACATCATATTTTAGGAATATCCTGAGCTAGCCAGGTAAATCTTTATGGATGATTTAGCTGGTTAACCTTTAATGTGGTGGAGAAACAAGTCTGACCTTGTTTCATAGTATGTGCTTGGCATGTTTACCTCTGTTATCCCAATTTAATCCTCGTGTAATTGCAAAAAGTCTCTATGAAGGAGGTAGAGTGGAGTTATATCATATGTAGGGTTAGATTCTGAAGTCATTGAATAAAGTGAATATTATATAGACCCCAAATTTGCTTTGAAATTCTCCTGAATTACATATAAAGATATACATAGTCTTATTATTATAAGGCTGAAGAGTGACGTACAAGTAATACCATATATTATAGAGTTCATAGGGAATATGTAATTTTAGAGATAAAGTTTGTGGGCTTATTTGTAGGGGGTCTTATATAAAACAAATGTTGAAAACTTTTTAACTATATAGTCTGATGCTACATATTTGAATTTGCTCAAGTTTATGCTCCACTGTATTATTATCCCAAATTTACCAAAAAGAAAACCAAACTCAGAAAAGTTAAGTAAGCTATTGAAGAAGACACAGCTGTTAAGTAGCAGAACTGGAGTTTGAATTCATGTTTCTCTGACTCCAGAGCCTTTTTCTGACTTCCCCAGTATTTTCTGACTTCTAAATCATTGTTCCACAAATGACATTTTGGAAATTATTTATAAGTTAGGATTTTCCTGCATTTACCTGTAATATGCATATACATAAGCACATGGCTATATGACTAGTACACATATACCAGAAATTCACAAACCTAGAACATATGAATTGAATGAACTGGCTTGGTGCCTGAGCTCAGTGGTTAGGGCTCCAGCCACATACACTGAGGCTGGTTTGTTCAAATCCAGACCGGGCCTGCCAGACAATGACAACTACAACAAAAAAATGGCAGGGTATTGTGGTGGGCGCCTGTGGTTCCACCTACTTGGGAGGCTGAGGCTGGAGAATTGCTTAAGCCCAAGAGTTTGAGGTGGTTGTGAGCTGTGATGCCACAGTACTCTACTGAGGGTGACAAAGTAAGACTCTGTCTCAAAAAAAAAAAAAAAAAAAGAATTAAATGAACCAATCCGAATGAACAAAAGAAGAAATCTGGATGAATACTAGAACACTAGTCAATCAGTTTTCTCTTAGCAAGCACTCAGCGTGTATTGCCGATACCCATCATGTTACTATGCATGTTAATAGCTTTCACTGGACACATAAAGTTCCTGAGGCTGAAAGATGGACATGGTACAGGCACAGAAGGTACTGGCCTATATGAGGTATAAATTTGGGTTGGTGTCATTTACTTAACATTCCCAGCGTCTCAGATGTATGCATTGTCCGTCCATCTATCCATCCATCCATCCACCCATCGTCCATCTCTCCAGTAGAAGATGTATCATGTGGCACGCAGCACAGTCAGTGTTTTGTATATTCAAAATAAAAAATACACACTTTCATAATTTGAGAATCTATACTTGTTCCCAAATGTTAGAAATTGTTCTTATTGAATAAAAAGTCAGAAGTATATATCCTACTATAGAACTTTTAAGATATGCATTATAGGTCTGTTACAAATTGCTATCTTTTCATTAGCAAACCTCACCTGAATTATTAATATATGAGCTTGGTTTTTTAAACTGGTACATTTCTTCAAATAAGTACAATGACATTTGTTTCAAAAGGGAAATCAGCCAGATTTTTCATGACTTAGGACAGAACTTTACCCCTGTATCAATAATTGATGAGGTTTTGCTTTATATTTTATTTATAACCAAGAATGGCCAAAGCCTTGGAGTCTATGGCATTCTCATTTGGTTACAAAGTACACTGACCGAGAGTCAGAAATTTCAGGGTTCAGCACCACTTGTAGCCCCTCAGGTGTCTCGTGAATCACGTGGATGCTAGAAGTGAAGCCATCATTGTTACCTGTGGTGTTGAGGCCAAAGAGGAGAGGGCAGGACACAGCAAAGGCCAGCACCCAGACAGCTGTGATCATGAGGGCCACACGCCGGCAGGAGCTCCGCCCTGTGCCATGCTGGTAGTGAACAGGCATGACCACTGCAGTGTACCTGTGGAAGGAAGGGGAAGGAGGATGGCATGATGAGATGGGCATGGGGAAATGTGTTTAAAATACACATTGAAAGAAGTTGCTAAGAGAAATAATCACACATGTGGCTGGAGAAGAATACAGTAGAACCTCTATGGTGGATCACCTCCCTACACTGGCCTCCTTGAGTTGAACTAATTTTCATAGACCGGACATGCACCACACATACATATCAGTATGGGTGCCTAGTTCCTTCTGGTGACTACTTCCTTATGTTAACCAGTTTGTTAAAGTCCCTTGGGTGGTCAACTTACAGAGGTTCCACTGTAATTGAGTTGCAGAAAGTTAAGAAAGAAAAGGGTGTTTGAGGGAAAATAGCAGAAAAGTTTAGAAAAGACGATGAACTCATTGAGGAACATGAACAGAGAAAGAGAAGAATGAAAAAGTTAATACAGCAAGATTGGGTTGCCAGGGAATTCTTCCCCAGTTCGGCTTGATCGCCTGGCCCGGCAGTCTTGCAGTCATACCTCTCCATTCACAAGACTCTGGGTGCTGGTTTGTGGACCTTGACTTTCTCCTGCAGTTTTTCTGATAATGGTAGAACTGTGCCCAAAGTGGACGTTTTCCTCCCTGCTTGTATCCTTATATACATTCTAACCCTCATAGCAACAGCTCCTGCAAGTGGTAGAGGCTTCAGAAATAGGGATGAGTAATGTCCAATGGAGGCTTTTTAAAATCCAGTTTTTATGCTTTTACATGGTCAAAGCCAAGTGCCTCACTCTTGTTGAATGTTGTTATTATTTTCTGTGGGAACTCATACACATTTCCACCTCCTGTGAGACTTACCTGGACAATTGTTCCACAGTCATCTCGAACTCAAGATGTCCAAAACAGATCTTCCCACACCAATTGTTCTACTTGGTTCCACTTTCTGCCTTTCTTCAAGACATCCTGACCCAGTACTCAGACTTTTTGGCTCACTGGACCCTTCCATACCAGTTGTTCACTCATTCATTTAACTTTTCATTCAATATTTATTGAGTCTCTCTGTTTCTCTCTCTCTCTCTGTATAGACATGTGCATAACGGGCATCATCTCTGTCCTCATTGAGCTTAGAGTTGAGAGAGTTGGATGAATAATAAAAAATAAAAAACAAATATGTTAGCATAAAATGAAGAGTGCCCAGGAAGAAAGAACCTGGCTGAGGCCTTAGAGGATAAAGGAAGAGGTAAAAAGAGAGCAAAGCAACACGGAGTGTGCAGGGAGCTGAGGGTATCAGAGGGGGCCAACCATGAGGAACATTCCAGGCAGAAATGGCAGGTCCTGGAAATGTACCCACTATCCAGTGGTTCTCACCCTTCCTAATGCCTCCTAATGCTGATTAAACTATCCTTTAATATAGTTCCTTATGTTGTGGTGACCCCCAACCATACAATTATTTTTGTTGCTACTTCATAACTGTAATTTTGCTACTGTTATGAATCATAATGTAAATATCTGATATGCAGGATGTATTTTCATTGTTACAAAGGGGTTTCCACCCACAGGTAGAGAACCGCTGCTATGCCATCTTGTGCATGTACCCACCTGTGCCTTTCCTGTGACCTGGTTTCTATGATGGCTGCAGCCTCCTGGCTGGTCTCTAGCCTCTGGGTTCCAAAAATAAATTTTATCATATTTCCCCACCTCCCCAGCTGAAAGTTGTCTCAGATAGGCAGAATTCTAAGATTTCTGCCTTTAACTACAAGGAACTGAACGCTAACAACAGCCTGAGTTTGGAAGAGGACCTCGGGCTCTGGGTGAGAACACAGTATAGCCTACACCTTGATTCTAATCTTGTGAGACCGTGAGCAGAGAATCTACCTTCACTGCACATAGAGTTCTGACTTCCGGAAACTGTGAGATAAAAAATGAAGTGTAGTTCAAGCTTCTGAATGTGCAGTAACTAGGCCAAACTTAATTTTCCTTACTAACCTGACCTACCATTGGTCCCTGACATTTGCTCATAATTTCAGCCAAAATGGCCTGGTGATGGGCACTCGTCAAGATTCAGAGACTGGTGTCTTTGTTCAATCTGTTATTCCTTCCCCATCCCTGGGTAACTCAATCCCACCCTCTCTAACCCCAGATTAAGTCTCCAGCAACCTTCTCAGTCCTTTCTGTACCTCTGATTCTGAATGCAAAACATTTCTGCGAGGATCAATGACAGTGCCCTCCTGCACACCCACAGCTGTCTTGCCTCATTACTGAAATTGCCTCATGGCTGGAGAGAGATGCCCCCATATGATTGGCTCAAATCATCTCATAGCCATGGTATCGAGCTCCATACACAGGATACATAGTAACAAGCTGTTGACAATTGCCTTATGGGTCATGAAGGCCTCCTTCCCCATAAGAAGAGAGTTTTCATAGCAGACAGGCTCAGGGGATCTAAGGTACATGGCCCGATCTACTTATGGCTCAACATGTATTGTCTTCTCAGTTCCAGTGAACCTAAAGCCAGATTAGAGCAGGCACCTCCTTCACTTTTCTTATGCATCTTGAGGGTTGGGGCTGAGGAGAGAAAGGACAGATGCAGGGCTAGAGGGTGTGGGACACAGCTCCCTGATGTTCTTCCTGTGTGTGCCCAGCTCCTCTATGCCAGCCCTGCCGGGATCTGCCTCTCATGCTTCTGGTTTTAGAGTGTTAACATCTGTATTCCCAAAAGAGCAGCTTTGGGAATCCTGAGATAACAATGAACTCTGTAGGACTTTGCCTTGACACCATGATGCTACTAAAGGTAGCTTCTTTTTCAAGAGAGAGAAGTAGAAGTCCTTCTTTAATAATGTTGGATAACGCAAAGGGAGGCTATGACAGCCCAACCCCATTCTCCCATCTGAGGCACATACATTACGAGCCCTTCATGAATCCCAGGAGCTTGGTGAGGAGCACTTGGTGTTCCTCCAGGCCTCTCACACTCCTCAGGACTCTTCTGGGCTTTGGACAAATATACCTGCCTAAAGAGCTTCACTGTTAGTGGTGACCCTGAGGCACCTTGGACGAGAGACTGATCTCTGAGTCCTGCTGCTGCCACGGTTAGTTGAGGGCAAGAGAAGAAAAGCTGCGGCCCACTTCCCCTTGCCCAGACCTGCAGCTGGGACTCGATCTTCCATTTATGTAACATCCTTTGATGTAAAAGAACCTGACTGTCTTGTGCATTCACTGATGTGCTAGTAAATGGCTAACGAGTGTCCCTCCAGGTGAAAAAAAGCCATAATTTGTAACATTCGCCAATTTCTGTGGTGTAATTACTCCGCTGATGCCCATTTTAAGCTACTACCAAAGCTTTAATAACTGGCTCAAAAAATTCCTAAAATTTTGCCAATCAGATCTCACTAGACCCATTAGAAGCTGGCTTTAGTACCCCACTGAGAGTTGCATACTTTCCCAAATATGCTTTAATGTTCAGCAACTCCTTGGAGGCTCCATTAATTCAATGAGTTTGTGAATGCAGGGAACCCTGGCTCCATTTCATCAAGGAAGAATCAGAGACACAGGGAGGTTATGACAGATTGTGGCATGAGCTGGGTCACCCATCTCTGAGGTCATTGGCTCTCCTGAGTGCCCCTCTCCTTCTTAAGGGCATGGACAAGTCTCTGAGGCCTTGCTGGTGACAAAGGCTTCCTCAATAAAGTTGGCTCAGTAAGGGCGGTTTGTATGTGGAGAGTACTGTGGGTGCCCAGAACTGAGTTTTCCCAGTTAGCTTGATTCTGTTAATTGGGAGGGATGTGTGTATACGATTCAGTTTTTCGGTGGCACGCAGCTCATGCCTGTAATCCTAGCACTCTGGGAGGCTGAAGCAGGTGGATTGCCTGAGCTCAGGAGTTCAAGACCAGCCTGAGCAAGAGAGACCCTTCTCTACCAGAAATAGAAAAACAAGCAGGACACAGTGGCCAGCTACTTGGGAGGCTGAGGCAGGAGGATTTCTCAAGCCCAGTGGTTTGAGGTTGCTGTGCGTTATGATGCCATGGCACTCTACCTAGGGCGACAGAGTGAAGATTTGTCTCAAAGAAAAAATCCAGCTTTTCGTGCCTCGTTCCTGGAGACTTTGATTAAGTACTTTTGAGGTGGAACCAGAAATAGGCATTTTTAACAAGTAAGTGCATAGTATGATTCAACAGGTTTGAGAAAGTCTGCATTAGGGTAAATTTATGTGACAAAGATTTTTGTTAACCTGGGTAAGAAGTGAGAGTCAAGATCACAATTTATCACTGTTATATGATTTTTTTTCTTATTCTTTTAAAACACGCTTTAACTGTTAAAATAAAAAAAATGCCCCCTGCTTGCCTTAGGTGACTGAGACATCGAGGCTGTTCCAGAATCAGCCATCGGAGGGCACCATAATGCAGCGAGAACTCAGCCAGCTCCGCCGGGGTGAGAAGTTCATTGCTCACCTGGGGGCTCTCCAGGCTCGGTGGGGCGGTGAAGAGGGGAATCCGGGCCTCCCGGGTTCCTGTGGCTCTGCAGGGATTCTGAATTCCTACCCTGGCGGACGGCTTAGCCTCCAGTTTTCTCTCGGAGCGATTGCCGTGACCCACCGCAGGCGAGGGCTGCGCCAAAGCACCCAGAGGGCGGGCCAGGCCGGGCCTGGACCGAGAGGGAGGCTTGGTCCTGGCGTCTCTGGCCATCGCCCGCTGCCTGCCTGCGTTACTCCAGGACCGGCGGCCCTGTCGTCCCTAAGCCAAGACCCCTCTCTTCTCCACGTGGGTGTTTGAGCTCCTAGCTCCCTGGGCCCTACCCGAACACTGGCATTGTGCCTAGTGGTTAAGCCTGTGGGCTTCAGAAACAGACCGAGAAGAGTCTGAATCTCAGCTCTGCTTCTTAAATGTGCGGCCAGTGGTTTGTCTTTTCCTAGACTCAATTTTCTCATCTATATAATGGGGATAATAGCCTTGCCAGAGCTATTACAAATATTGAATTAGATTATCTCTGTAAAGTTGTTTTGTTTCTTTAGCACAAGGCCTAGTACATATTACATTTGTA